GAAACTTTTTTGACGGATATCTTTGACTGTGTGTTTTCTGAGGCACGTTATACTAAGACTTATAAGTAAACTCATGACTATAATTGACTTACCTTTAAGACGTAAAGAAAAAGATCAGCGCAAATTTTCCTTCCCTAACTCCACTCCACAGTTCTTTTTTCCCTTTTTGGGGGCTTGTTTATTTTCTCACAAATAAACAACACTAAAACAAATATTCTATTGTTTATCTATGAATTCTTTCGCTTCTGTCTAGGATGGATGATTCTCCATTGTTCACGGGATCGGCCAGGGCGGGATCCCTACACACGCACGCTGGTCAAACTTGGACAATACTGATCAGACATTTGCATACACATGGAAATGAGCGACTTGCGCAAGTAATGCGGATGAAGTGGTCCCCACCAACTGTACTATATTGTCGCCCTGAGGGGGAAGGTAGATAGGCTACAGTGTCTACCGGATTGGAAACTAATTAATCAGAACACATGAAATTCTCCTCTTGCGTGTGTTCTTATTAGATTTGAGGATAGTAAGCAAAGTTATATTATGTGTGTCTTTACTCGTCAATAAACACAAGAATGTTTGATCATAAACCCGAGTAAGTAATGTGGCCTACATATCAGCCTGTTGCACACTTCTGGCTGCCTGAGGGGGTTCTTTTTTTACGTGTTTCATTGTGATGGACAATGCACTGTCACGATACCTCTAACCCCACTTCCCACTCCCCCTCCCCTCTCCCACCCATCCCCTCCCCTTTCCCCCTTCCCTGCCCCCCTCCCCCCAACCTCGTCATCACTTTTTTAATTTACTCTTAGTATCTTGCTGGGTATTACATCAGCACGGTATGCAAAGGTGGATACAGAAATACCTTACCTTTCTCTCATCTGCATTCTCGTTTAAATAGTAGTGCTGCTACTGTGACAGCATACTAATAATGAAATATCCTAGATCAATTGAGGAGACCAAATTTTAAAAAAGAACGAGCTGCAACAACAGCAACAACAACAACAACAACAACAACAACAACAACAATAACAACAACAACAACAACAACAACAACAACAACAACAACAACAAAATCGAACAAACAAGAAAAACAGAACAAAACAAGACAAACTGTTTTGTTTTGTTTTGGTTAGGGTGTATATATAGCAAAACCAAATGATTATCTGAGTAAAAGGTGAGGTTAAAAGAAAACTGGGCGATTATTCTTGTCTATTTTTTGCTTGTGTGAATTTTTTCTAATGCTTTATAAATTGATGAATTGCACAATAGATCGAAGCTTTTTCTCATTTTTTGTTCTTGGTGATAGTGGGTAAAAGTAAATTCCGACATTTTTCTCTCATGACGTCACAGCCACACAATTTAATATGACCCTCTGAAAAGTGAAGACCCCGGATATGCGTACTACATTATAATAGGTAAATAAATTCCGAATAGAGGACTAAACTTCACTCTCTCCGCCCCCTTCCCTGTTGTAGCCTTGTTAAAGTAAAATGGGGCTAATCCAGACATGCTGTCAAAGTCAAAGACAGTTTGCCTACTATGCCTGGATGTACCTTATCGACATCGTTCTCTGGGTCATTAGGCCTGCTCAGTGCTCGCTTACTCCGTTACACATAAGCTCTCCAAAGCCCTTCTATCTGTTCATCTTGCCTGCCAAGGCCCTATACTCTCTCAGCCAGCCAAAGCGTCTAGGATACAGAGCCCACTATAAAGGAACATCTTTTCCATACATTATTTCCATGGCACCTACGCTCAACTTTGGATAAATGAATACCCCCAAATACAAAAATAAGTGACCTTGGTTTAACCCATTCTAAACGCTCCTATAATAATATTACAATGAAGACGACATACAAAAATAAACGGTCATGGTCTAAGCCTGTTTGGAATTAATAAATTTGTTCCGTAAGGGCTTTCAATAGGAAGCGTAGCAACTTTTTTAATAACAAAGTGAATTATCCGTTTCCTTTCACAAGGTAAGGAAAATCAGTTGTTTGTAGTAGCAGCAGCAGGAAGGGAACAATTGCACACAAAGATTCTACTTAAGGGGGGG